GCTGAAAAAGTCTTGATGCATTGAGGCCTCCACCACATCTGCGACACCCCGGCAAAACGCATCTGCATCGTGCACGTTCTTCAGCTTAGAGGCGTCAAGCATGCGCTCCCCAGCCTGGTACCCCTCACGGTTGAAAAATGCTCCTGCATCATCCCTCCACAAGCATTCGTTTCAGTGCATGCTAGGGCCCTCGACCAGTAAACACAACAGCTTAGCCTGGGTGACTAAGGGATCGATGGAGGAAGGGGATTGTTCTACATCCTGTAGGACATGTCGCCAACGCCAAGGTCCCTTCGGGCAAGATAAGACCTGCTAGCCTCGGCATGATAGAGACTGCAAGTCATCAGGGCAGGCGTGCGACATACCGAGGATGCCAACACTGTGCCGATGGTCGTCGGAGGTGAGCTCAAGCACGAGACCAGCATCGAGCAGCGCAATCATGGGCACCTGCTTCATGTGCAGCCGAAAGTCAAAGTGGCACACAGAGCAGTCCGCACCAGACAGACGAGTGCTGCATTCTGTGTTTTGCAGCGGCAGGCAAGCTCACTCTCCGAGATATTTGAGAGCAGGTGACACTGACTAATGAGAGAGTTCTCTCATGACATAAATTGCTACTGCACATCACGATCATTGATAAGGACAGGAGAATCAATGTCGGTCTATCCAGAATGGTTGAACATGGATAGTCACTCCTCTAATAGCAAGCATGAGATGTGCCCACGTTCCAGATTCGAATGCTCAGAAGCACAACATTGACGTGAGCATGTTCATCTCTCTCAGAGACCGCGCGAAACGCCCTAGCAGACTAGGGGGCAGGGGGGGAACTTCACAGTTTTTATCTCTGGCAGGAAGAGGCACTCCACCGGTTTGGTTAAAGCAAAGTATTTGGGAAGCCAGGATCCCGAGGGTTTTAAAAAGTTCCGTCATGAGATGTCAGAGATATGGAAATCTCACAGGTCGAAGCCAAGTTCAGAATCTCGGTGACATTACCAAATTCAGCATACCCTAAACATTCCCTTTAAACTTCAGCATGGCTTCGAGGTCCTGACAGAGATCCTGTGCGGAGGCTGGTGCGTGAGCCTGCCTTGTTGGATCCCTTGTCTGGGGAGTCCACATGGGTGATCAGTATGTTGCCGGCATGCATATCCAGGTGCAAGAACTTGTCCATGAAGATCATCTGCAGAGCTGCATCGAGGCCCTTCTTTGCAATGCGCTGTTTGCAGCCCTCATCCTCTTGTGCGGCGCTCCATTTGAGAATGGGCACACCGTCGATGAATTGCTCTACCAGCACACGGTCCGTGACAAACCCTTCGAAGGGCCGCGGCACGACAATGGAGCTGCGCGGGTCGCGGAAGTTGTAATGCAGGATGTCGAGGTTGCGTGCCTCGATGCGGAGATCGAGCTGTTGCGCCATCACTGTTGCGAAGGACTCCACGTAGTCTCGAACGGAGAGGTATTTCAAGCCGAGGGTGTTCTCGACGAAGCTGCCCACCGCAAGCATGATGCTCATGTCCACCGCCACCTTATTCTCCACCCCTGGGTGCAGCACTTTCACTGCCACAGACTCCTGCTTGCCCTCCACCGACAGCGTCCCTGTGTGTTTTGACAGCGGGGACCGATAACACTTAGCCTTATACTTGGTTCGCACCAGGAACCCTGCCCAGTGCTTTGCTGATTGGCCGTGTGAGCCATCGGCACTTGGGCACCGACGATGCTTGAGGTCCATCGCTTGTGAAGCACTCTAGCTTTCATGGTTGTAGTACCACGCCGTCTATCGCCGTCGATCGAAATCAAGGATTGAAACAGCCCGACAGGAACTACAAGCGCGCCCCTCTTGGAGCAACGGCCGGCCTAACATTGAAAGAATCGCTAGTTCGCGCAGTCCTCCACGTTGCGGATAGAGTGCTGTGGAACTGTGCAACTATATGCGAAATGGAGTCAGACAAACGGCACGCTCAGGAGCCCTGCCGGCGTCCAATCCGTGTGGGGGGTTAAGCGACGAGAGTGCCTGCGAGATCGACACACACTAAAAAGAGGAGGAGGAAGAGGGACATTAAACAGCGGTGTGCACAGGTGATGTATATCGGAGAGAGAGAAGAGACAAGGGAGACGGACTGAACACGGCGATGCTGGAGGGTTCACGACCGAACTGGATAGAGGAGGCACGCGAGATGAACTGGATATGGCGGTACTCAAGTGACAAGGAGTAGAGAGCGCAGAAGAAAGGATCATGAATCGGAGCGGGCAGAAGAGACAAGCACGATGGACTGGACCTGGCGGTACTCAAGTGACAAGGAGTAGAGAGCGCAGAGGAAAGGGCCATGGATCGGACCGGGCAGAAGAGACAAGCACGATGGACTGGACCTGGCGGTACTCAAGTGACAAGGAGTGGAGACTACAGGGGAGGCGAGCGAGACGGAATGGACACCGTGCTGCTCGAGTATCACGAAGTGGACAAAGGAGGGGAGACGAGGAGGTTGGACTTGACACGGCAGTTCTCAAGCGACACGGATCGGAGAGTGCAGAGGAGGCGACAGAGATGGACTTGACTCAGCAGTGTTCAAATAACACAGATCGGCCAGGGAAGGCGAGAGTGATGGAGTGGTCACGTCGGTGGTTGAGTGTTAGGGAAACTGGCGGGCTTTGAACAGGAAGCCCGCTTCACTGCCTCGGGATGTTTGAAGGGGGGGGGAGGGCAGAACGCAGCGGGCGTTTCAAGGTATGCCGATGGCACAACGTCAACTTTTGTGGTCGGACGTGGAAAAGGTATTTTTATTACACTTCTGAAGCGTCAAGTCGGCAAGTTATGCACGTTATCGTAAGGGCCGCACGAATATTCGTCGCACGAGGAAAAGAAGGCAAAGTTGCCCGCTCCAAAAGGCGGGCGCTTTGGATGCGCTGGTCGTAAGTGATGCTAATGCAAGCAACTTCACCGAGGAGAGTGATTAAACTGGGAACAAAATACGATCGCGCACGCACGTGGACGACACTGGGAACGAAATATGCACGCGCAAGTCGCGTTAACGCGGAAAGAACGTACCACGATGCACTTGAGCGATGCACCCTGACCCCACTGGCTCTTTCTCGAGGGCGAGGTGCTCTCTCCAATTGGTGCCGAAAGCGTCTGAGAGCGTTTGGTCGGTCACCGCCCAGGAGTGCTGCCGAGCATTGTCTTGTAGAATGGAGAAATTCTGACAGAATGCGGGCGAGAACAGATCGGGCCGTGAGCTCGCCCATTGTGCAAGCTTGACGAAGGTTGGTCCACTGGTTTCTACAGCCCATATCCCATACTGGTACCATAGCTGCGACAAAGTTGGGAACCAGTTTTGCAGGAAATACACTTGAGGGGCGGATAGAAGGAGAGGAGAGAACAGGCAAGTGAGTTCAAATATACGCTGAACCGCCAGCCAACATCTCCAAAGGACGTGAGGTTGGGCAGGTATGATCGCGTAGTCTTCCTGCGACAGTGTCCCTCCGAGTCAGAAACAACCAACGGCTGTATCATTTCCTGCGCGTTTGTATTATTTTTTCCCGGTAGTATGTATAATTAACGAGAACTATCGTCGCGTGTGTATTGCTCACTGTTTACCGCAGGTTACCTGTTTCACTTCCAGCGGACATAGAATCACAACAAATGCACATAGTTACAGGGCCCCTTCAATGTTTGTTCTCGTCATGGCAGTTCGGACGTTCGCATTCATGAGGTCCCCACTTAGCTTTGCCGTTTTCAAGAAACCCACAAATAAACTATCGGCCATGTGAAGGCGGCTTGCCTGGCGAAAGTTCCTGGGCCGAACGTATTAGGAGGTATTGCGGGCTTGAGCCAGTTTTAGGGAGAGAAATATGTCTTACCTTTTTCTTAGTGTTGTGATCGTTGGGAAGGGCAGCAGAGTCTTCTTCCACTCCCTCTAACAAATACTTGGTCGCAAAAGAGTAAGCACATATTGAAATTCCACCGAGGCAAGCAGCAGACGAACCATAAACAAATACTTTTGCCGTGTGAGGCAATATGGAAGCTCTGCCTACTTCTCGGTATGCCTGACGGCCGGCGCTCGGCAAGGGCCACTTAGTGAAAGCGTCTGAATAATATCTAGTGCTTGAGGTGCGGGTCTGACCAAGCGCAAAACTTTGGGGAGTTCCAGAAATATTGAACCAGCGGCAGAGCGGCGAGGCCAAAGCCCGACTTCTCATTGCAAACAGTGAGTTACCGAAATATATGCATCGCTTGGGTCCGTATGCGCATCGTCGCGAGTAGCGTTTTATTAGCTTATGCTATCTCTTGGTCTTCCAGTTGCACACGAGGAAGGGACTCTCGTCGGGAAAGGTATAGCATTCAGTCGAGTCTGAGTGAAACATTCAACAGTCATCACAGTCGAGTGTTTCGGTAGTGCGGGACACGAAGCAAGGAGATTTCTGACGCTTGACGACTTGGGAAGCGACGAGGCGAATGACACTTGTACTTATTCTTATTAGCCAAACAAGCATGCCATGGCTAGCTTCTCGCCACGTGGACTAAGTACTGGAGTGGGGACACACAATAGGCGAATCACAGAAATATATTTTTTGAAAGAGACACACACACATGGGAGAGAAGGAACAGCGTGAACATGTGGCTGGAGAAAGGTCTCCTTCCGTGGATCGATGTACTTTCGATCGATAACCGCTGATGAATCCAATGGATCCGGAAGACTGGAACTAACACTATTTGAAGTTTCTCAAAGGGTAAAGGTAGGCGCGCTGGAGGTTCACGGAACATGACAGAGTCATCGCGACTGTCATGTGACGGAATCACAGGTTCGATGAGACACAGCCGGCGAACCGGCTTTTTAATTCATTTCTTCATTTCTGATTTCATGCCAAGCCCATTGTGCATTGATCACGCGATTTGCTGTGACACTATTTTCGTACTCTTAACTCTAGTGTCGTGTAATTTTAAAATCCTTTTTTATTTCATAATAGTCTATAACAAAACAAGCTTTCGATTCAAAACTGATTATAATTATTGAGCACCGGTTTCGATCCGGTGACCTTTCGCGAGTTATCTAAAGCGAACGTGATGACCACTACACTAACCCAACAATTTTCACTATTATATGATTAGTGCACAATGCCATATTTAAGCTGGAGACACCTGTGACGGCACGTCCCACTGAAAACCGAGAGGAAGCATGGCACGCTACTTTGGAGATGGGCAAGGGAGATCGATATTGACCGTTCGATATCCTAAAAGAATTTTCATCTGCGGGTTGTCGAAACTGACCCGATCTTTAGACGATCACTTCAACAGGTTCGAGGATCAGGATGGGGTTCAACAAAACCACAAAGCAACAATAGAATTCTCAGACTTGAGACTCTCAATATAGATTTACGCAGGCGGTTCGTATTTTCTGCTTACTCGTTACTGGTATTCTCGTTTAGTGTTTACTAACTTTAATGATGTTTTCCCGGAGACTACTTGGTGGCCTGCTATTTGAAGGCGATTTGTCATTCACACACAACCACTTTTGGCACTTTCAGAACGGTCTTCTAATTTACACAAGTTGTAAGTGTCACTCCCACTCGTTGCTCGCGCACTGATCAGATCCATAGGCGCATTCAGCTCGCTTGTCTAGATGCTTCTACCATGTTGGCGGCTCTTTTCATTCTCTTGCTCATACTACTAATGTCACTTGGGAGGTCATCGCGCTTTCGAATGAGGGTCCCTCGGTTCTCGTGTTGGCCTCTTTGCATTGGGAATCTCCACAACGGCTTCGTAATGCTCGGACGTTCCCACCTTCTGAAAGTTTCCCGTATATTTCAAGATGATAGGCTTGTGGTTGGAACTCTTTAAGAAGAGGTCGAGCCACGCACTTCAAAAAACTTTGCCACGAGTATAACCTCGGGCTGCTGAGTGCATACGCAGTTCCACGGCGGTTCGGGAGCGGCCAAGGCAGATACAAAACCACCGGTGCGTTTTTCTTCTCGGAGTCCGCATTCAAAACCACCACAACCCGCCTCATTTCCACACAAAGTGTGAGAATCACGTCGCCATTTGGTAAGTGCCAGGTCGTTTAACTCTCGGTTGGATCAGTGCTTCCCTCTCAGAAGTCGATAGGGCGAGCATTTCAAGAAGCGCTCGACCTTTTTCCGATTCATCGCGAAGTGCACGTGCCACAACCCCCGCGCAGTTCTCGGTTTGCCTCTCTGAAGGCTTGAGGTGGGGATTTTGCGATTTCAGCCATGGATAAAGATGGCAGCTTTCCCATGCACTGCAACCAGCTCAGGTAGAAACAATCTACAACCATTCCGCGCATGCCATAGTTGAAAGTGGGCTCCAGTCCAAACTGCTCTCGTAGCACCTGCAGTTTCTCGTTCAGTTGTGGTCCTCTAGCTCGGTCCTCGTCATTGAACACTTCCAAGACATCCCAATGAGCAGACCGTAAAGTAGCCTCGTGCGCCATCTTCGTGTTCTGCTCCTTGGCACATAGGGTGTTCGTCGCTTCCACTAGGCGGGCATATTGGTCTTGTTGGCACTTCAGTGTTCTTCTTTGCTCTGTTGCAAAACGTGGAGTCGTTGTGTATGTGCAAGGAGTTCAAGATGTTGTTTCCACTGATTCTGATATTGCTCCGCTGTTGCTCTGCGGTCATTCTCACTGTAGTGCATATGTCGATGCATTCGCGTAGCATGTCCTTCAGCTGCTCCACTTTCAGACCGGAAACTCGGAAGTGCGAGGCATCTTCTTTGGTCACCCGCTGTTGAAAAGCGGCATGATCCTTGTTGTAACGTTTTATTTGTTCCCGCCGGAGAAATTTATCTTGTTCCTTACGTGTCTTCATCCTTGCGAGCTCAGCCTCCACGTCCACCATGTTTGCGCATGTCACTTGAATAACTGAGCTCAATGGCACAGTTGTGGCAGGTCGTGTTATAATCGGTGGTCGAGTTACGATTGAAGGGTGGGCGCTGCCGGCGGTGGCTTTTGCAGGCGATGCCGGCGTCGTAGGTGCTACGTGTTCCCCTGACGGTTGGGATATCGGTTGGGATGTGCTCACAGTTTGTGGTGACGCTGATGCCGGTGCTGACGCTGAGGCCGCGATGCCGGTGCTGACGCTGATCCTGGTGCCGACGCCTAAGCCGGTGCTGATGCCGGTGCTGACGCGGACGCTCAGGCCGGTGCTGACGCCGATGCCCGAGCTTGCGCTGACGCTGATCCGGGGACGGTGTCGACGCTGATGCCGGGGCTGACACTGACGCCGTTGCTGATGTTCGGCCGGAAATGATATTCCGCAACTTCGAGAAGAGGTCTGCATGGCTCTGTGAAGGTAAGCACTTGGTCTTAGAACGGTTATGGTGACGCTGATGCCGGTGTTGACGCTGAGGCCGATGCCGGTGCTGACGCTGATCCTGGTGCCGACGCCGAAGCCGGTGCTGATGCCGGTGCTGATGCCGGTGCTGACGCGGACGCTCAGGCCGGTGCTGACGCCGATGCCTGAGCTTGCGCTGACGCTGATCCGGGGACGGTGTCGACGCTGATGCCGGGGCTGGCACTGACGCCGTTGCTGATGTTCGGCCGGAAATGATATTCCGCAACTTCGAGAAGAGGTCTGCATGGCTCTGTGAAGGTAAGCACTTGGTCTTAGAACGGTTGTGGTGACGCTGATGCCGGTGTTGACGCTGAGGCCGATGCCGGTGCTGACGCTGATCCTGGTGCCGACGCCGAAGCCGGTGCTGATGCCGGTGCTGATGCCGGTGCTGACGCGGACGCTCAGGCCGGTGCTGACGCCGATGCCCGAGCTTGCGCTGACGCTGATCCGGGGACGGTGTCGACGCTGATGCCGGGGCTGGCACTGACGCCGTTGCTGATGTTCGGCCGGAAATGATATTCCGCAACTTCGAGAAGAGGTCTGCACGGCTCTGTGAAGGTAAGCACTTGGTCTTAGAAGTCGCCCACCTAACTTCTTTCACGGGCAACTTTTCCACCACGTGCAACCGCTTCAGCTGGTCTTGCAGGCGGTCCGACCGTTTCGAATTCTGGCTGAAGCGACTTGGACCAGCCCGGAGTATCACAGTGTCCTCGAGAGTATTGCACCGATCCATGCCAGCATAGTATGATAGTTCCTCCTGGGCCCGGTCCCGCCTCTTCGTGGTCTTTTCGATTCGCTTTTGCTCGTGCTCGATGTTGCTCTCTGCTCGTGCTAAAGCCACTGCCTTCCGCGTTTGCATTACCCGATTTTCTCTATACTTTCGCATTGCGTAGAACGACACGTGCTTCATCCCGGCCAGCTTCGTCATGGTTTCAGGAATAGCCTTCTTTAGAATTCGAGAGCACACCACGGTCGATATAGTTCTCATCTTTGCACCCCTCATCTTCTCATGGGCGCGCTTGGTCTGGCCTATCACACTTTCAGCGAAATCGTTGTCAGGCCTTGCTTGTGGCAAACGTTCCCGGACAACCTCGGGTATGTTATCAATGTGGTGCTTCCCTCCAGGTATAGTCATGCTCATAAATTAAGGGGCACTTTTTTGCGATTTCGAACACACATTTCGAAAATGTACCCCCTACCCACACGGATCTTGCTTACATGCGGCTGCCACGAAATCATAATATGCAGGATGTATACCAATGACGACTATAAAGTCAAATCGCACAAGGGGGGGGGTCGAGTCATGCCTGACCAAGCCTGCCACGCCGACCACGCGTCAAGCACAAATGCCCATTTTTAAGGGGTTATGCCGAGGGGGCTGAATGTCGATTTTTTTTTTTTAAATCAGAAAGTCGTCCCCAGGTAGCATTTTACCGGAATATCCAAGTACACTAGATATCAGAAACTCCCGTACTCGTGTGGATAAACTGTATAAGATAAATAAACCCTAAGCTAGATATACCCGGAACGGTCTCGGACGGTCTCGGTGTCTAGCCTACCTGTGACACAGCGTGTGTCACAGTACGAACCTACAGATCAGTCAGTAGTCCAGTGTTGGTCCTAGGAATCTGTCATAGGGGCCTGCACCGGGACTCCCAGTCAGGGCTGCCTATACAGATTTCAGCACACCACCCCAGCACTGTGGGTGGTGACTGGCTAGGAGAGTCAGAAAATGTAAGGCTGTTAGTGTTAGGGCAGGAGCTAGGTGACAAGTCTAACTGCCAATCCAACTGTGCTATTCTGATACACAAATTGGAAACCTCTAGGTAGCACGTGAACAAAAGCATACGGGCAATTAAGGCACCGCTAAACAAGTGAAAAGAACCGTGCTAGCAAGTCAGTTTGAAGATTATAAAGGTGTCAAAGCAAAACATAAACCAGATTGAAGAAGTCTTTGAGGTCACAGGAGTTCTGCACACCACCATGTTGGTGTGCCTCCAGAGTGAGTAAGAAGTCAATCGACAGCACCAAAGTAGTCAGCGGTAGCCTCACGGAAGTCCATCCCATAGTAGGAAGTAAAGTAACCAGCTCCATAATAGTGCCCCGCATCAAGAGGACCGCTCTCATGTAAGGCCACGCCGTAGTAGAATGCCATGTCAATACCCAAATCCGCTTGAGCCAAATCCTGAAATGCTAAAAAGCTCAAAGTGTCAGGAGGCTCGGGCGGCTGAAGCTGTGGCACATCGTCAGGCAATAGGAGACCCTGAGCCGTCATCACCGGATCAAGAAAATCATTCGTAGAGAAAAATGACGGAGCCTCCCAATCGAGATCACCACCAGGCGAAGGCATCTCCGTAGCCGACCGAGCGTCGGGCACGGCTGCCACTCCCATGATCGAGATGCAAAGAACGAGGGAAAGGAGGAAAGGAATGCCCCACGGACCAACCGTGGCAGGGAAGCCCCATGGCGGCTTCCCACAACCGTAGGTCCTCTGCTCGCCCACGGGTGGCCCGGAAACATGATTGGCCGACGGAGGCGAGCCCCGCGGCTTCAGCCGGAAGCTGCCGTCGGCAAAGTCCTCGTAGTCGTCGGTGTCGTAGCCTGTCAGGTCAGACGGGTGGACAGCGGCGTGATTCACCGTCTGCACGAAGCCTCCGAACTCACCGTGCGTCGCCTCCGTGGTGGTCACCCGCGCCGATTGAACTGGCGCGGGCTGTACATCCTCTACCTGCGAAAC